CGCACGCACGCACGCTCCAGTAACTCAGTGGGGCCACACACAGCACGGCGGGGCCAAGGTTTCTAGCCTTTGAGACCTGTGATAGCCCATTATTTGTTTGCTTGGGGATCCCGTTCTCCCTTGATTTCTTCCTTCTCACATACAGCTGCTTCCAAACACGGGTGACTGATGTCACTGTGCCTGATATGGTGACTTTAATTTCAAACTGTCCCTTGAGGGAACTGGCCATGCACAGGCCGCGTCATCAGGGCCGTTTGTTGAGAGGAGGCAGAACCTGTATGACGCCCGTCTGCACGAATCACTTCATGCGGCCTCCTGCGTAACAAACGAGCACCCCACACCATCCATCCTTTCTCAAGGAATGGAAAATGTTTCCGGAACTATATTCAGGCATTCCATTTTCCTGTCAGAAAAGTAATTGTGGCTGGCCTATAAACCAGTTTGAAGAATCAAATTTAAATGAGCCAAATTTAAATTTATAAGAGCCTCATTTAACATGCAATTAACTTTATACATATAATAAAAAAAGAAAAACCTCCGGTCTTCCTGAGGAATTAAGCAGGCTGATCAGGAAGTACTGTGCCTGGTGGAAATGAGATAAAATGACTCTTGAATACTGTCATCATTTTTGTTGCATAAAAGCATATACAATACATTCTATTTCAGGCAAGTATTAATTTAGTATGATTCATTAATTCTTTCTGGAGGGCCCCAGCGATGGAACCAAACGGCTAGAGTTGGCACACAGGTTTGGGGTACTAGAGATTTGTAAAGGCTCCCTCTCTCCTCTATGCTAACTCTTAGATCTCTCTCCTACCTATTGTCTTTGTTTCTTCCCCCCCACAAAATGGAGAATGATAGAAACCATCATTATTTTTGATTCTTCGAACTTTTTGTTCCAATCAGAAAAATGCCGCGGAAAGCCTTCGTTTGCCAAGTCTTTTACCCACAAACCGGGCCGCTCACCCCAAGGTCAGCTGCTCCAAGGGACAGAGAAGTGGCTCTCTACTCCATCACCCCCCAGGCAGCTCGACCGTGTCCCAAAGGGATTGAGTCAATGACCGGTTCCTTCACTTTTAAAACCCACGAGGAGATTATGACAGGGTTACGGTGATTTATTTATAGCTAAGCTTCCTTTTTAATAAGTTTGATGTACAATAAATGTATCTCCATGCCACTCTAAGCCATGAAATAATTCAAAGCAAACATCCATTTGTGTTTTTCAAAAGAAAGGAAAACAAATTCTCAAAGAGAAGCTGCTTTGTATGCTACACTCGGCTTCAGGACACTGCCCCATACGAGTCTCTGTGAGGGATCATTACTCAATATGCGTTTTTTGGGGGGTGGGAGAGCTCAGACCACGGAAAACAGGCAAAGACTTTTCTTTGTTAGAGCAAAGCCAGCCTCTGACTTGTGAATATTTTTAAAAGGTAGAAGGGGCTAATTAACCTGTTTCCCCGAAATTACGACATCCCCTGAAAATAAGACCTACTTACAGTTTTGCCTCTTGCTGAAATATAAGGCATCCCCCGAAAATAAGACCTCCCCAAAAATAAGGCCCCCCGAAGCTACTATGACTCCGGACTGTAGCAGCCGGCGCCACCGCACAGCTCACTGGTGGCCGCAGTGCAGCCAGAGAAGACAGGAAGTGTGAGATCTCTTTTAATAAAACAATAAACAAGAAATGTGGACCGTATTCTTCTTCATGGAAAAATAAGACCTCCCCTGAAAATAAGACCTAGCGCATCTTTGGAAGCAAAAATCTAAGACACTGTCTTATTTTCGGGGAAACAGGGTAGCATCATTGTATTCACTGTCATTTTGAAACTAAGCATTAACTCTCTTCAGCAGTTCTCATGTTTGGACTTTGGGGCTCTCTGTTTCCTGTGGCTCTTCTAGGACTGAAGGGCTCTCTCCAGAGGCTGCAGCTTGAGTACGTGGATGTGGTCTTTGCAAACCGGCCCGACAGTAACACCCCCATGGAAGGTGAGTGAAGAAACGAAATAAAAAGACTACAGCTATTGATTTCAGCGGGACGACTTCTTCCACTCGTGGTAGGAAATAAAATATATGCCGGTTGACCTGATGGAATTTGAAAAATAAAGACCTTTCGGGGTTCCCATCTTCAGGCTCAACCTTTACCCACAAAGCAAGAGCTCTGCCTCTGTGTCCTTCAGCTGCTGACGGGACTGGGATGCTGGTGCCTGCTGGAGTTGGCTATTCCAGGGACATTCCACTGCTGTGCTTTCACCATCTCCAGCAATAGAAGTAATTGAAGGTGGAGTTTATCACCCGGCCCTCGTTAGTGCTGGTAACATCCTAGGAGGTCTTCTGGTTGATAATGACTCCGGGTCTGATGAGTTTTCGATCTGCAGAGTGCAGCCCGACAGAGGTTTGTCTTGGGGAGTGACTGCTCAAAGCGAGGGCTCCTATTGGCCATTGCACTGTTGCCTCTGAAGCAGCTGCAGTCTCTTACCCCCTTTCTTTTACAATTGTTTTCAAGACTACGTCGTTAGGTTCTCCCCGTGGAAGCTTTCAGAATGCTCTTAAAACAGGTTTTCTCCTACTTACGATTAATCCCAGAGCCTGTGTAGGTCGGTTGAGAAAGAAGATCGTTTGGGAGGACAAGGAGGGCGGGGGGATAATATTTTAGCTAACTGAGTGATAATCTAGGGAGTATCACTAGCCAGAGGTAACTGAGTAGGAAGAGTCCTGGGAGGAAAAGCAAAAAGAAATATTCTGTTTACTTGAAGTCTATCATTTAGATAGATTTCCGGCTTTTAAATCATTGAAGCAGTGTGCGAAGCTACAACGACTCTGAAGGCAGTTTCCTCCCTGACCAGTCACACGGCAGCCCTGGGCCGTGTCGTCAGTCAGCGTCTGTGACGAGCGTTCGCAGCGTCTAGGCTATGTCCAAGCTTTAGAGGCTCTAAAGGACTGGGCCGGGTATGGATTTTCCTACGCATTGCATTTCTGCACACACCCACACATTATGGAAACTCTTTTCTAACGCCATGTATCTTTTATATACAGAGAGAGAAATGTTAAAATGTATAAATCCAATTTTCTACCTTGGGTTTTCTGCCTTCCTGGTGCTGGGAAAAGAGTTTTTTGCTAGAAAGTAGCATTAGAGTCTTAGAGCATAAGTGATTATCCACGAAACTGACATAAAGATGGATATTTTTTGTCAAAGCAAACTGATCTATTTGATAAGGCAAACCTTATGCATTTTATTAGGACGTAAAATATTTGTTGCAAGAATAATCAGATGTCACACTGTTCTCAGTGACACATTGGAACAGGTAAAGCCATTTAGTGAGTGAGAGTGTCAAATGTGGTCTTGGGGGAGGGGGAGGCTGGCTATGAAAGGCTGAAACTACTTCCCATATTAAGCCCTCGGGATGGTTTTCTTGTCGAAACCATGCCCTTTGCAATTATACCTTATGCAGAAAAACGGAACATCTGCGAATCTTCAAGGGCCTGTTGCCTGTCCCCCGCCAACTTTCAATTCTAGGGCATATTGTAGGCTTCGCTCTAAAGGGAACATCATCACTTACGTTATACTAATAGAAGAAGCAGGGAGCTCGGGACAAACCGTGTGATACTGACAAGAACATGGTGTCTCTTGGGTAAGCATTGCCTATGCCTTAAAAATCATTAGCAGGACCCTCATGCTTAAAATATATGCAGATGTAGCTGCTGAGGGAATGTGTAGCTGCAACCAGGTCTGGCTTCTACTCCTACTGGAGACATTGTACACATCCCTCGAGTTTCTTATATGAAATTTCCCTGAGCAGAGTAGGAAGTTATTTTATCATGACTCATGGTCCAAGTTCAATAGGCTGCTGAACGGCTTCACGTAAAGTGCTCATGGGTGTACATGTTGATCAGGTCAAGGAACGTGGCCTCTTGTGACTCAGTGGCAATCAAGTACATTGAACTGTACTGCAGCACCACCGTCACCCACACACCCAGGGAGCCCCCCCTTCAGGCAAGCCCATCGCAGTTCCAAGATTCCTCCTTGGAGGGCTTTGCCGGGGTATCCATAGGCAATTCTTTAAGCGAGGCTTGGTCCCGATCTCACTGGCTTCCAGGGGCTCCCTAGCTTTCAGACAATCTGTGTCCTCAAACTTAGTATACTCTCCATGGGCCCAGTGGAAACAACCATTTGAAACTAGTCATTAAAAAAACTTCTTGCACCTTTAGTCTTTCTGCTTTGCTATAACAGAAAAAAAGAGTACTGATCATGGGTGCTCCTGGAGAGAGGATACTGGAAACAAGGAGATAAGGATCGGCAGGTCCCCCGGGGTATATTTGCTGCCCTTAAAATGGGGAAATGGTCTCTGAACTCCTTCTGGCTTTGTGAGTGTGATTGAGTCATTTTTGCAATGATTTTGTAAGTCATATGTGTGTGGAAGCACAAGTTATACAACTCCCATGGAGTTTACCTTAGGAAGGTTATTAGTATTTCAAGAATCCATCCATGAGGCAAGCATGACCCTGAGTTCCCTACAGTAATCCTTCATTAGTCAGTGATCCTCACCAGCCTTTAATTAATTATTCCGTTTGTTCTTTGAATACCGAGACAAAGGCATCACAAGATATGTGCCCACTTGATATTTTTGTGTGCATGCATTTGTTTAGTAATGACAGAAGAAAAAGAAAATCCTTCGGACCATTCATCTGCAGCCCTTGTCTGAGCAACTCACGTTGATCCCTTTAGGCTGCACTGCACCCATTTCCATTTGATGTAGGTGAGGTCACCAAGTGCCAACAGACAAATCCACTCTTGCAAAGTCAAGTCCATCGCATAACAACCCTACAGGACAGAGTAGAACTTCGCCAGAGAGTTTCCAAGGCTGCCCATCACTGCTGGGGCAGACGCCACACCTTTCTCTCTCAGAGTGACTGGGGGGTCAAGTCCCCGACCTTTCAGTTAGCAGGGAAGGCTTTAACCACTACCATTTAAAAGGGGTTGTCAAAAACATATTCCTGCAGGTCCATCCGTTAGATCTACAGGTGTTGGTACTGAGCTGTATGTGTGAGACTGAGTATCTCACAGTAGATCACCCTTTCTGGTTTCCACCATTCCTTATCTGCCCATATAGTGCATAGCACAATGTGCACAGACTTATTTTGCTGAAACATCCATTTTAAACCTGAGAGGCCTAAACGCTTTCCTAATGAGCGAGCTTAGTCCCATTCAACCCTAACTTGTCTCCATCACTGATCACCAAATAGAGAGGAATTCTAAAAGGGGGCTCCACCGAGTCTCCAAACCCCACGTATGCAAGCATTCTCAGAGGTCACGTGTGCCCACATTGGGTAGCTCTAAGGCACATTTTAAAGGCTTTAGACTTAAACGGCATTGAAATGCAAACCTACGTCAATTAATCTGTACCATTACAGAATGTTAATTAGGAGCATTTCTAAAATAAACCAGGATGGATATCATCCAGTTTCCACATCTCATACAGCAACCAATTGAGCCAGAAGATCAGCAGCACTGCCTTCTTTATAATATAGTGGCGTCCCACATCCAATGAGTTGCCTTCTTGTCTTGCTTACAAAATCGAAAAACAGATTGGGTCGCTTCAAGGAATGACTGTGGATTCCACATGTACCAGCAGTGAAGAGTGGTGGGTGGGACACTTCATCTGCAACCTCCGACCCTGTGGACTATCATTCGACACCTCAGAGTCACGAAGATGTTCCCGGCAACAGAGAGGGACATGGGTACTTTTTTCCCCTCTTGTTTGTTTTTTTCTGGTTCCCCTCATAGTAAGTCACTTTTCTTCCACTGCATCTGCCATCCATCCGTCTCTTCTACAAGAGCTGGCATCGACGGCATGCTTGCCCTTCTAGAAAAAACCTTCCCCACGCCCCATGCCTTCTTTCTGATGGCTTCATCCCAACAGATGCCTGGCAGTTCCTTGTGCGCTGTGACACTCGGATGCTGAACTCTGAAGCACCATAGATTGTCTGGGGAGTTCATTTTAGACAGGAGGAAGTTCATTCCCACGCGAGTGTGCCAAGCAATTCCCACACGAGTGTGCCAAGCATGGAGAGACCCGACGGCATGTGCATGTCTAAGGAAGAGGGCTGGGTTTCCCATCCCTCTTGCATGCCAGCCTCGTGCCTCCCTGGACACGTTTCTCCCAGCTCCAGGAGAGCAGCGATGAGCCCCAGTCACAAACAGTGGCGGGCAACTGTGTGTGCTGTCTGTAACAACAGCCCAAAGAGGGGGCTTTCTTAGTGTGACAGCTTAATAAGAGGAAAAAAGAAAAAAGGACACTAATTTATTGAGTAAAGAATGATGATGTTTTAAAATGAATTTCGTTTGCATTTTAAAAACACTTCAAATTGAATCTTTTTACTTTTCATCTCGTACTTTTTGTCAAAACCAGTTAGTCTCACAAAATCCCTGAGTCATTATATACTGCAAATATTCCCATCCTAATTACAGTTTAGTAATTTTTTTTTCTGCTAGTAGGTCAATGCAGGCTTATAAAACATTTGGCTTCAAATTAGAGACATAAGACTAAAGTTTGCTTTACTTAATTCTTGTAATACGTATCACAGTAAACAATTCATTCCATAGGTCCATACTTTTTCTAAGCCATTTTTAGTGCTGTCCTATGCTCTTGTCTTGATGCCCAGGAATCTAGGATGCTGGATGACCACTCAGGAAAGAGCAGAATGCAGGGAGGGGATGCTGCAACATCCCAAATGTCTGGTGTTTTGCCAATCCCAGAAGCACTGCGCTGGAGTAAATAGCATCCAAAGTAAAGTTTTCAGAAACTAAAATGTAATGACCTATTATCTTCAAATAGCATTTATTTCTCATGGATCAGCCCTGCAGCCCTTATGTTTTATTATCTTCCCTGAAACACGCCTCCAAACCTCTCCCAACAAACCATAATAATAGGAAGAAATTGCGTGTGGTCACCATGCTGTCCAGTAGAAAATTAGGATAGCAGCCACAG